GTAATCCTTCAAAATGGCATCCGCCTTTATTTCTAAAAGCGCCAAAGTTTTAGGAATGAATAAGGTAACCATTTTTTTCCCATCGTGAGAAAGCCCTTAAAAATGGCCCAGTGTTTGAGAAACATTCAAAGTGTGGGATTTGTCCTATGAAAAGTCCATCTATGGGATTTTGTGACATTGTGAAATACTAAGCATCATGCATCAATGTGCATCACACATTTGGCACTTTACCAGCTGTGCTACATAGAAACATAATAGCAGCTCTCTAGTGGATATGGACATTATACAAATGTGGAATTCTAATTCCCACAGATGTAACTCTGCTTATGAAGACATAAGAACTCAACATGATTTTGGCACATGTTTTCTGCCTAGAGAATGCAGAAAGCTTATGCAGAAAATGCCATTTTGTACACAATAAAACTATCTGTGCAATGTATATACTTTATGTGCAATAAAACCATATGTATATGTTTATATGCCTCTAAGCCTTTTAATCTTCCTGCATAGCAGAGGGTTGGACTGGACGGATGCTGTGGTCTCTTCTAATTCTATGATTCTATGGGTGTATCCACACTGTATGATTCTATGGTTCTATGGGTGTATCCACACTGTAGAAATAATGCAATTTAACACTACTTTCACTGCCATTACTCCATCCTGCAGCATTCCTGAATGTGTAGTTTTGTGAGGCACCAACAGTATGACAACACTTTTTCTGCCAAAAATGGCTTGCAAAACTACCTGGCAAAACTACAAATCCCAAGATTCCATAGGATGAAGCTACAGCACTTAAAGTGTTGTTAAACTGCATTATTTCTACAGTGTAGATGCACCCTAAGTCCCTAACTGCAAAAATTCTAATCAGGACTTTCTTTTTCAACTTATCCTGACACTTGGGAAATCTCTTTTTCATCTGGGATTTGAATATTTATGAATATTGTTTCCATTCTTTGCCTTCAGTCCTTTCTTTGCTTCCCTTGGATTATGCCTGTTGAATTCAGCAAGGCTTGCCTTTGAGTAAGACATGTTTAGAATTGACCTTAAGTTACACTGATCACAGTGAGTCTTATCCATGAGTAAACATGGGGAAAGGCTGCCTAGCTCTCTATTTATTTAGATATTTATTTGGTATGATAAGTGAGCATGTCCTTACTCCAAAATAAACATAGGGAGCATGTTGTATGCCTGATTCTACATTTATGTATGTATTTAGCTGATACCATCAATTATCACGGTGCATTATTGAGAACAGGCAGCTGTCTGGGGGCTTATAATCTGTAATTCATAAAAGGAAAAGAGAGAAAAAACAGGGCACTTCTAAATCTTCTGATCCCCTCCCTAATTTGAAAGTCAC